GGGATGTAACACCCACCACTTCGAGGTTTATACAGTTGTTCACAAGGAGCAAATTAGATTTTCATGGTGCTCGAGTCAACATCACGATCGAACTACAATACGAGTGTCACAAGAAGACATTTTCTGAAGCATGCATTCGTCCAAATCCCAAAAACTCTGTCAGTGTTTGGTTTTTACCGATTCATCCATTAGAGTCACGAATATTACACATGTGCTGTTGTCGCGGTTCGAAAGTGCGCGACAGTGGCGCTAGGGCTTGACAAAGTGAACTTATGATGACTAATTTGAGCTAATGGACGAGACACCTCGCGCAACCTCGTGGTACGCAGCGTGGATTACGACGTAGTGGCTAACTCAAATACATCACTTCAGTGGAGGATGAAGCAATAACTAAGCAAGTCCAGACAACTCGTCCGAACGCGCCCTTTCCTCATTTCGAGAGAAAAATAGTTTGTTTTGGACATTTTTCATTTTCAGTCAGTTCGGAATCGATAGCTGTTGTTAAGCTAACCAATCTTGATGCTGGCATTGTTGCTTCAAGATAAGGATTGCTGCACTATCAAACAGCCAATGACGCTCGTGGTACCACGAGTGATAATCTAGTGCGCAGCTCGGAATTGTTACTGGCTTGATACGCTTTTTTATTCCTTAGTTTAGCTACCGCCACTGGTCCCTCCGGTTCAATGGTGATACGGTATCTCATCACAGCCTTGCTTATTTTTATAGCCCACCCCACTGAATGGGCGAAGAATATGTAGTGGCAAGTGGCACGCTTACCACGCGAGCGGTCCGGGATCAAATCCTGGGTCGTGAGTCGCCCGGGCCAACCAAGCCTTCCATCCCTCCGGGGTCGGTTAATTGGTACCAGACTTGTCTGGGAGGATAAAAAACACTGACTTGTACATCGGCTGGCCCCCGCAAGTCATTGTATAGGCCACATCGCATTCAAACGCCACTACGAATGTACAAATGGAAGTAGAATGCGTGCCGCATCCCAAAAAGGGATTGATCAACGGCAAATGCTTTATCCTTTATCCTTTACCCCAAAAAATCGTTCTATTTCTCTACACTGTTACACATCATATAACTCATCGCATGAGTGCGGTATAATACGTTTGGTATCACCGAGCTTTACACTCTCATCAGCGAGTTTGCCTCCCTCCCTTTTATTAGCGCCTTCCCAAACATAGCCGCCTGAATGTCAGGGTTCGGCGGACCTTTGCTGGCTTATTGAAAGGTGTTTACGAGGTAACACCTACAGCAATAATTTTTTGGTAACAGTGCTAAATTTGCTAGCATACTATGCAATAAAAATATAAGTTTAGTTGTTTAACCGTATAGCATAATGTTATACGTAAGTACAGATTCGCTGTCCTTCCTGCCCTAACCTACGCCTCAGAGACTTGGACTCTGCGCAGGCAGGACGAGCATGCGGTCAGCGTTATCCAACGCGCTGTCGAGAGGACGATGCTAGGAGTAACCCTATACACGCAAGTGCAGAGGGGAATCCGGAGTTCCGAACTACGCCAACGATCGAAGATCAGGGACGCTGCCGTTTTCGCCAAGGAATCGAAGATAAGGTGGGCCGGACACGTCATGCGATTTTGCGATGACCGTTGGACCAGAGCGGTTACCGACTGGATCCCTCGGGACGTCAAACGAACACCTGGACGACCGCCGGCCCGATGGTCAGACTTCTTCACGAAAGCTCTGAACGAAAGGAATGATGGACTTCGTGTCCCTCGAGCAAGGAGGATCCACTGGACCACTCTAGCACGCGACAGGGACGAATGGAGACGTTGCTGGCGCCCGCTCGAGCAAATCGACGATCAACGGGACGACAGGTGATACAGGTGATGTAATTTGCGAAAGAACTTTACAGAACGATTATTAAAAATTTAAAGGACCGGTCGCGCTAGCTGAGGGGCGGGCAAGAGCCTCATCATCATTAGATGACTATCGCCATTGGTCATTGAATCGCCCCTCTATGCCTTTCCACCAATGACGACGCTTTTCCACTGATGGAGTGGGAGCTCCTGACCGCTCTCACCCAGCGCGAGCGCTTACTTCAGGAACTGGCATTCTAGTGACAAACAATAAAATCGAAATAAGGAACACCTCTTATCAGGTTGCGAATATGCGATTTAATTGCAAAATTGAAACTGGATGTTATAACATGAAATCTATGCCTTGTGGTCTTAAATTCTTGTAGCCGAATGAAATCGCAAAAATAACAAAGATCACAAAGGGTCACCGAAACATTGCGAATTCTCGCAATTCGGCCTCACTTCTTTCTTTATGGACCCTCACTACCAGCAAAAACGCCCTTACTTAGTACGCAAAGAACTGCCCACGTGTCCATAATAGCCAGACACTTAAAAAACCCTGAATGACCAATGATGTCGGCTTTTGTCATATGTAATATTTATTCGGCCCCTTCTTGCATAGAAATATTTAACGTGCCAGAAACTCATATCTTCTTACTTGTGAACGTGTTTCGGGCGGTGGGCCGGGCCGGCGGCGCAAAACCAAACCATGCATAGTTTGAGAAGGGCATTAGATAGAAGATGTTTTGACGCCCTGAAAAAAAAGAAGAACAAACTTCAGGTTCTGCTCTTTTACCCACCCCGTCAAAGTACCAATCAAAGGTGAACGAGCACAAATCAAAAAGACGGCACGTTCACCAACCACCGCTCTTTTACCAGGTGAAGGACGTCGAGGAACTTTGCAATGTTTCGATTCCCCTACCCTATGGGTACAACCGCCCTCCTTCTCTTCACGACCCCATAAGACCCCTCTACCATCTATCAAAGGCTGGCAGTACGGAAAAAATGAAAATGTTACCACATGGCACACATCCAGCTCCGCCCACAAAACTCCACAATTGTATCTAGCGAAAAAAGCAAATTTTCGCTACTCACTCTCCTTGATAAGCTCTTTGTTCCCGAATATACAATCTACATACTAACCTGCCCCAAAATCCTAGCTAGGACGCCTTTGCTTTCACCAAGGCAAATGTGACCCCTTTGGAGGAATTCCCTGCCCTGATCCTGTCTCGACCAACTGAAAGTGCAGCCATCATCACAACACAAATGTTTTCGAGAGATGTTTACGTCATCGGTTTCTTTTCATCGACCACCGACTATCGATTTTCTCAATGAAACTTTTTTGAGTTTCAAAACACTTTCAACGCTCTTTTTCACACGGTCTATTCACAGGTGTTGATTACACACGAATAAATAATCAGGTAAAAGTCCAATTGATAAGAGAGTTATGCGATACAGTGTGTATCCATAATAACTACGAAAAACGTGAGTGAAACGTACCGTCCAAAACAGAAGAAACAGAACATGACCCCGATTATTAACGGGAATACGGTACGCGTTTGACGCGTGACGACACCTGGAGCACAGAACCGCTTAAATATATACGCTAGTGGCAGTGATGAGAACATGCATAGCACGAAGTTGATCTGAAACACGTAAAAAATCCAATTATAGAAAGCTGATTGGAGCAAAGGAATCCAAAATGCTTTCAGTGGATCTCATTTTCCGCTAAAACAAACGGTGAGTGGTACCGAGTGGGTTAGAACAATCAAGTAGTCAGAGTTGATACACGCTGTTTATGGTTTGCGTCATGCATTCTACTATCGATCCCGTAGAGTGTTTAAAGAAAGGGTTCGGACAGAACGTTCTTTGCAGTGACCTAGAAGTGATAGTCAATCACTGCATGGGGGGGAAGGAGGGGGATACTCACTTTCGCGCCTCTTGCACGCGTAGCTAAGACGTTAGCGCTCAGGGATCCTGAAGCCTTCCACCCAGAAGGATGCCATGGCCGCCCCTCCCTTTTGATATCTTATCTCTGTAGCGACCTGTTACGCCTCTGACACAGACTTGCTTTTCTCTCCGCGACATACATATTATCTTATCTTGCTGTCTGCTTCTTAGACTTCCTTGCAACGTAGAGCAAGGAGGTTCGTGATTCAGGGCTTTACGTATTACGTGGTGTAAATCTCGCTCCAAATGCAGACCTACAGTGCGCTAGCTCCATTGATACAGAACATCCGTTCGAATAAACAGGCCGAAAGTAAATGTGTTGGTGTTCCTCTCAATACGCTACTACTAACCGGCTGCATCTGTTAGATGTAACTTCTGTGGTTTTAAGTTGTGAAAATAGCAGGTACTTATGCGTACTTCAGGACAAATTGTGAGAAATGACTGCCTCGCTCCCACCTGCGGCCACGCGCACAGTATAAGAGCTCGGTGGCCGGCGGTGATAGAGGGAATTTTTTGGTGATGCCGTCCCTTCGTTCTCTATAGATTACAACGACTCTACTCACAATGTCTTCTAAACTTCACTCTCCCGCCTTTAACGGCGACAGCGGCAAATGTGGCCTATCACAGCACAATCACATTTTGCTTTTCCCTTTGCCCTCAATTATAAAACAGATAAGCCCAAAAAATTCATACCCGACATTACCTTTGTATAATCCAACCTCACCAAAAGCAACCCTTCCCTTCTAGGGGCAGATACGACCAAGGTCGAGAAAATGTCGACGGGGTTTACTCTGATAACCTGGTAAACTTCAACCTCGCCACACACGTCGCCACATCTGGCGCAGGGAGGCACCGAGTTTAGGGAGGCTGCACGTCACCTGGCTCTCCGCCCTCTCAACTCAGCTGACTTAACTGCCGTATTACCATGCTTCCGGGAACTATTAGACCTGCACACAAAGGGCAAGAAGTTCAACAGCCGTCAGCATGTGAATGAACAGATTGCATTTCTCGTCCTTTTAATGAGGTTCCGTCTTGGTTGGAGAGGTTCCTGTTTTCACATTTACTATTTTTACTGTCCATTCCCCTGTGGAGCGAAAAAGGTCTCGTTGCTTACCACCCCAAATTGCGTGACCAAATCTGGGATCGTACGCCGTCCAGAACAATCAAGCCTTCCAGCCCTCCAGGGCTGGTCAAATTGGGCCAGAATCGTCAGGGAGAATAAACTCTAACTTGTCAGCGAATTACCCTTCCCCTGTAAGGGCCAAATTCAAAATCCTTCTAAAAATCTGAATGGAAGTAAAATGCGTGGCGCAAGCTAAGAAATCGATCAATGTCGGATGCTTTTACCTCTTTTGCTTTAACTGTTGCTAATGAGCGCTGAGTTACACAGCTATTTATAATTTTTGAAAAACTTCAATACCATAATAAGCAGAAATATACCAGTAATAGTGTCACATTACCTACCCTATCCACTTGGACCCCAAAATAAGTGGCGATCGGTTGCAGCATCGTCGCACCATCATAGAACGTGTGCGGACCGGGCATTTCGATGCCTTAATCACTATAATAGATTTTCGTATTGAAAAGAACTTTTATAGTCGAAAAAGCAACGCCTACATGAATTTCAGTGTGAACGAGGTAACTACCTTAAAAAAAGAATTCTGGAAATAAATATTCAAATTTTAGGCACGTCTTACACTCCACTGTTCTGCAATTCAATAAGCAAACTGGACTTTTCACGAAATTGGCGCTAACATAGTTGAAAAAGGGGAAGAGGGAGGGTGAGCGGCATGTCTGCATCCTTTCAGCGAGATAGTGCAAATTCGCAAATTCCAGCTTTTATTGCATGTCAAGAGACTTGTCATCCCCGCCCCTTGTCCCTGAACTGTCTACACATCCCAGGATCACGGACTCTTCGCTTTACACTAAAAGTCGCAAATGCCGCGCCTGGGTGGTGACAGCCCCCGGCTCCATGGACATGCTCACCGGCGGCGCGGACGCGTTCACGTGTTGGTGACGTCACAGTGGCGGAAAGGGAGCGAGCAGAGGCCAGCTCTGCCCGATATTTGTTACTTTTAAAGGAGGAATTCACGATTAGAATGAAGGTCGAAGAAAGGGAAACTGACCTAGTTGAGGGACCCACGGACCTCCTGAGGGTGCGAACTGACGCGCAATTCGCATGGAAAAATTTGACCTCGGCGACCTATCATGCCTCAAAGCTGGCGGGTCCGGCGATCTCCGCCCACCGATCATCTGATCACTCGCCGTAGTTCAATACGTGGCGAGTGATTAGATAGCTGAGAGAGCGTAGTGTTGAAGAGGGCACAGCGATGAGAGTCGCATCAATGCTCGAATCAACGGGCAAGGAAGGGGTACCATTTCTCGGGTTCTGGGCCGTTTCTCATGGTTCTTCCTTCTTTCGTGTACCACTCACCATCCCTAGGTTAATTTGAAATGGGTTGCTTTTTCATCGTGAATTCGTCCTTTAAGCCTCCGAATCGTTGCGCGCTTCTTATTCACTGGGTACTGTGTGGAAGTAAGTAGGAATCGAATTCGGAGAACAGACTTAGCTTATTCAACTTTATCTCGACCTGCGGCGGCTTTTGAAGATTTGACCGAAGGCCTTCACCTTACTCCACTAATTTTTCAAAACTTATTCTTTTGTGCGGGACCGGTACCTGGTTAACTACATCATTGCGCTTAAAGGCAAAGTTCGGGCTCAGACCCACCTAAGAAGCACTTTCCATGGCTGGAAGTGCTGGACACCCAAGTTGCAAAGTTAGCGCCACCTTTCTACATCGAAACCCGTCACCAGGACCCTAGGCGCCATGAACTTCTAACAGACTCCACCAAACATAACATGGTCCGCCCACCGATCGATGTCTTGTCTGCGTCGCTGCGTTGATCTGCTATGCTCTCTCTTCTCGGACTTCTCTACCACTCTCCGCGCTCACATTATCTCTCATCTCCCTGCCTGTCTTTTGAACTTCTCCACAGCATGAGCAAAATGCTCGTATTTCCTGTGTATTTCAGGATTTTCTTTCCTTTTTTCTCCACTGGCGGTCCACCTCTCATCCCTACTTTCACATTTGAGTGGAATCACCCATCAATGTAATCCTGATTCTTGCCTTTAAAGTACAAGTGATTGAACAAGTTGGTGTATTATCAGAAACGCAGCACAATTTGAGCGAAGTAGCGCTGGCCAAAGCTTGCCCTTCTTTCGAGACTGCCGCAGCTGTGACGTCATTTTGACGTCACCAGCACGCGCTCGCATCCGCGCCGCCGGTGAGCTTTTCTCTCCTCCCACAGCCTCCCCCCAACTAGGTTAGCACCATAAAGCTGTCCTTGAAAGTAGAGGTAGGCGAGACATTTACCCCTCAAGATACGATTACTCAATGAGCGCATGTTTCGCGCGAAAGCCGACGACGCCCGCGTATGCGCTAGCGCCAAAACACATTGGGCTTCCGAATCCACAGAAATTTGCCCTCTGCGGTAACTTTGCCGTAGCTATAAATACCACATCCCCTACGTTCAGAATTGCTTCGAGCTCTCGCAACAGGCGCCGGCTCAAGCGGATCTGATAGCAATGGCGCGCGTGACGTAGACGCCACAACCTTCTACATGGAACGTGCGGTTTTTCTTCATTGGTCAACTTACCCACCTTGTCCAAATTTCTACCCATACCTGCTTAGAGGAAAAGATTAACAAAGAAATCCAGTATAGCTTGCGAAGAAGAGAGCAGTGAAGGGTAAATGATACCGAAATGCTATTGCTTCAATTCCGGGCCTAGGATATGAAGAGATTACATAAATATAAGAATAAATAATTCAAACAAACACACAAGCGCACATACACTATTATATTAAATATCTGGCAATTAAATTGAGCACTAAGTAATTGGGAAATTATAGGACAAATTGTACATACAGTGCAATGCAATGCTGCCTCTAGTAGAATAAAATACATCAAAATCGAATAAATTTAGTGAAAGTGAACTTGAGCAAGAAGGCTAGACTGGCGAAGTCGGAAGAGCAAAGTTTGCAAAGGGGTTTTCTCTCAAAAAGCACGTACATATGATCAGAACATCAACGTCACGTGTGCGACCGATCGGCACACCATATTGCAGATAAATATTTGCGATCCCTTTCTATAGAGATTATCACGGAAAAACTAATTTGAAATAAATAACAACAAAGGCGATGGAGTGAGAGAGGCTTAAATCCGCATCAACAGAATTCTGGATTATTGAAACAGGAAATTACATTTACTGAACGACTAAAGCTGAAAGCGACAGCATCGCAAACGAGGGCTACCGCCTGTTTCGATGTAAAACCTTTAGTCACTGAAGGGCAGGAGGATGGATTGTACAGGGGTGGCCAAAAAAAAGAGACACTTCACTCCACATTTCAGACAGCATTAATCACACTTTGCTAGAATCAAATCGACTGCCCCAACTCAGTATTGAAGAGCACATTCTAATCTATCTAAAAGTTACATGACAGCCTTCTACACCGACGACATCAGAAGATTTTCCCACGGAAACATGGTTCACGGTACGAGCTCAACGAGGTCGTCGAGGTACCATAGACCATTACGACGTCCCTGAAACGCTGGTCAAAAGCGGTCTTGCACAGTCACAGCTAGTGTCTCTGGAAGCTATTCACCAGTTAATCGATTGAAGAAATTATGTAGCAGCTTCAGGCCGGAGCGATTACGGTAAGCCTCGTTGAGCTCGACGGTGACGGCAGATGACGTCATATTCTGAAGACGGCAGGGGCAGTGAAGGAGGGCCTGCTTCTGTTTACGGGGGAACACCTAAGGAATATATAAAACTTTCATTAACATCGGCTCCCTGTGCGACGAAAAGTTCGATGATGTGCCCCATGTTCGAAGTGTCTCTTTTTTTTGGCCACCCCTGTATAATAAAATATTTGAATGAAGAAAGAACGCGAAAAAACTCTACGAGACTTTAGAAGCTTCACTGCAAAAACCAAAATTTGGACTCTCACAGTGTTTTCGAGCATGCAGACTCAAGGGCATGGGTCGTGATCGAATTTGTGTATCATTATGTTTAAAAATCAAGCAAGTAGTGAGGAAAGGAACATTGGTGGGAAAAGCGAAAAGACCATAGAAAGCACTGAAATTTGTCTTGTGGGGTCAACCATGGTACAATGGAGAGACATGCTGCGAAGAGAAGGAAAACGTGAGAGAGCACATCGTGCGCGAGAGGGCGCACACACCACGTATGTCGCGGTCGATAAAGACGGCAGCGGTCGCAGCGCTCCAGCGGTCGGGCGAAAGTATTAGCTCCATGAGCACTTCTAAGTCGCGACAGCATCACAGCCCTATGCATGGGGCTTCTGCTACCTACCTAAGTCCAAGAGAAAAATTCTCAAGGAACTGATCGCGCCTATGCTTTCAAGTGGTTTGGAACAGCTTAGTCACGGGTTGAGACAGTAGCGGCGCACCGTCCGCCTGTCTGCGCCCTCTCAGCAGACAGTCCTAGCTCTCGATGTAAAATAATAGTTCGTAAGCCATCAAATGACAAAGGTCGCCAATTCAGAGGTTCAGCGAAGAAAGAAGAATGAGCGAAACAGTTACTTGACTTCGATCAGAAGTTAAAATGTGTGATTTAACACTATCTCGGCGAGAGTGCGCAGACGTGCGGACTGGCTAATCCCCCACCGGATCCAATTACTGTAGCATCTGAAGCATCTTCACATATGTAAAGAATCTGATCACATATGTAAAGAATTATAAGAGTAAGACAACAAGAAAGGACTAGTCCGTTGGAGCCGGAACAATCTCTTGTTCTACAGGGTGCGCCAAAATTACGGAGACAACGCATGAGCAAACAATTTGAACTGATATTCACAGATGCTGTTTTCTTCTGTCCTAGTTTTGGTACTGTGGTGTAGAATTGTTTATGCTTACCTTGTTCAACCACCAAAATCTATGGTAGCTGCAGCGGTTGACTGATACTGACACCGTCCCTAAATCATTGGACTTCGACGTTGAGGGTTTTTGGCACGCGACAATTATCATCGTTTTGGTGTATACCCGAGCACTATCAATAGATGCTCCAAGTGGTACAGGGGACAAGGAGCTGAATGCAGTCATTCTGGATGAGAAGGGCGTGTTTCTGTGGCGACCACGAACAGTCTAAGGATTGTGTGCGATAGATTTTGCAGGTAGTTGACGCGCTGGTTTCACTGGATGTCACGCGAGATAGCAACCAGGGG